CAAGCACCAGTATGAACACTGATCCTGCCAGGCTAAGCCTCCTTACTAAACTGTTTCACATATCATATCTCTAAAGTTAATAAAAGTAAAGTTCCAGTTTGACACCTATTTTCAGAGTAGTTCTATTCCAGTAGTTTCTCCAGATTCAAGATGTAAAATTCTGACTAAGTCACTGATTGACCAACACGATGCCCTTGACAGTAGTACCTACCTGACCTTTCATATTGCATTTTATCCCAATGGGATGCCAACTGATGCCGATTTTATCCACTGGCTTTATTCTGTCGAGAAACCAACACATTATGATAGAAGTGACAAAACCCTTCCACATCTGTAAGACATCTGTGCTAAAAGCAGAGTCAAATGTACAATTCTGACTTTTTCATGAGTATGTATTTGTTTCTGCAGTATTACAGCTGAAAGATGTTGTTTGTAAACAGTCAAGTCTGGAGCAGACAATCCAGTGATTGTCACCATGCGCAGTAATAGCGAGCAGCATCACACACCCTGTTCAGCTGTCATGTCCCTGTCATGGTTGGCCTAGCAGAGGAAGGTGTTCACTGTGCATTGTGACATTCTCTGTAGGGGATCCTAGGTTTGTCATCCATACTCATCAAGGTTGGAAGTGTCTATGTCCTGAGTTTGTTTGGACCTCCTGCTCCTATAAACCAGTAGCTGTCTTACTGCTGAAGTAGTTTCCAAAGAAGCATTGAACCTAACTTATAACATCTCAATTGTTGTACTCATGTCGAGAAGAGCCAGGTTTCATTTTCAGTGATCCTTTTGGATAATCTTTCATCACTATTTTGGAATCTGTTTCCACAGACATAATAGACTGTAAATTCTCTGGTGTTGATGTTTGGAATTTACAATTTCTGTTGATATACAAAAAGAGAAATAACTTATCTCAACTGTTGTCAGTAGATATTATGATGATTTGTGGGGCCATCAGTCCTTAACCCTACTTTCTAATTGGTGTTGTGAAAAGCATCAAAGCAGAAAATGAAGTGATAAATGTGTCTTAGCAGGGTGAGAAGATTTAATTGCCAAAGCTTAAAACATTAGTGCAAAAGAATAATCAATCTGGATTATCTGTTAAAACAAATTTCATGAGGTGGTAAATATAAGTGAACATGCAAGAATAGAAATCTTGATAAAGTTACTACGGTAAACAAACACAAGTCTCCCTATCACAATTTTCTGCCTATTTGTCAAAACTCTGCTTAATGATGAAGTACCACATGAAGACACTGTCAGGCTGTTAAACACTGATGTGTCTGTCAGAATACCTTGCCAAATGATGTACAGATGAAGATGTTGAAGATAAAATAATTCCTGATGAATATGGTTCTAATGAAGTTTACAGGAACAAGACTACCAAATTTCTGTGATCAACCTCTGCATAATAAAGACAGTTTGGATGAAGATGTTTACAGGAACAAGTCTCCCATCCTTCTGTGATAAACCTCTGCCAAATGAAGATGGTTTAAATGAAGATGTTTACAGGAACAAGGCTCCCATCCTTCTGTGATACACCTCCATCAAATGAAGATGGTTTAAATGAAGATGTTTACAGGAACAAGGCTCCTATCTTTCTGTGATGAATCTCTGCCTGATGAAGATGTTTACAGGAACAAGGCTCCCATCCTTCTGTGATACACCTCCGCCAAATGAAGATGTTTACAGGAACAAGGCTCCCATCTTTCTGTGATACACCTCCATCAAATGAAGATGGTTTAAATGAAGATGTTTACAGGAACAAGGCTCCTATCTTTCTGTGATGAATCTCTGCCTGATGAAGATGTTTACAGGAACAAGATCCTTCTGTGATAAACCTCTGCCAAATGAAGATGGTTTAAATGAAGATGTTTACAGGAACAAGGCTCCCATCCTTCTGTGATTTGCCAAATGAGATGGATGTTTACAGGAACAAGGCTCCCATCCTTCTGTGATAAACCTCTGCCAAATGAAGATGGTTTAAATGAAGATGTTTACAGTTTACAGGAACAAGGTCTGGCCCTTCTATCTTTCTGTGGTGAACAAGGCTCCCATCTTTCTGTGATGAATCTCTGCCTGATGAAGATGTTTACAGGAACAGGAACAAGGCTCCCATCTTTCTGTGATACACCTCTGCCAAATGAAGATGGTTTAAATGAAGATGTTTACAGGAACAAGGCTCCCCATCCTTCTGTGATAATCTCTGCCAAATGAAGATGGCCTCCCATCTTTCTGTGATGAAATGAAGATGTTTACAGGAACAAGGCTCCCATCCTTCTGTGATAAACCTCATGGAAATGAAGATGGTTTAAATGAAGAACAGGAACCAGGCTCCTATCTTTCTTTAATCTCTGCCTGATGAACATGTTTACAGGAACAAGGCTCCCATCTTTCTGTGATGAATCTCTGCCTAATGAAGATGTTCACAGGAACCAGGCTCTCATCTTTTTGTGATGAATCTCTGCCTGATGAAGATGGTTTAAATGAAGATGTTTACAGGATCAAGGCTCCCATCCTTCTGTTATAAACCTCTGCCTGATGAAGATGTTTACAGGAACAAAGCCCACATCTTTCTGTGATGAATGTCTGCCTGATGAAGATGTTTACAGGAACAAGGCTCCCATCCTTCTGTTATAAACCTCTGCCTGATGAAGATGTTTACAGGAACAAGGCTCCCATCTTTCTGTGATGAATCTCTGCCTGATGAAGATGGTTTAGATGAAGATGTTAACAGGAACAAGGCTCCCATCTTTCTGTGATGAATCTCTGCCTGATGAAGATGGTTTAAATGAAGATGTTTACAGGAACAAGGCTCCCATCTTTCTGTGATGAATCTCTGCCTGATGAAGATGGTTTAAATGAAGATGTTTACAGGAACAAGGCCCCCATCTTTCTGTGATGAATCTCTGCCTGATGAAGATGGTTTAAATGAAGATGTTTACAGGAACAAGGCCCCATCTTTCTGTGATGAATCTCTGCCTGATGAAGATGTTTACAGGAACAAGGCTCCAATCCTTCTGTTATAAACCTCTGCCTGATGAAGATGTTTGCAGGAACAAGGCTCCTATCTTCTGTGATAAACCTTCGCCAAATGAAGATGTTTACAGGAACAAGGCCCCCAACTTTCTGTGATGAATCTCTGCCTGATGAAGATGGTTTAAATGAAGATGTTTACAGGAACAAGGTCCCTATCTTTCTGTGATGGATCTCTGCCTGATGAAGATGGTTTAAATGAAGATGTTTACAGGAACAAGGCCCCCATCTTTCTGTGATGACTCTCTGCCTGATGAAGATGGTTTAAATGAAGATGTTTACAGGAACAAGGCTCCCCATCTTTCTGTGATGAATCTTTGCCTGATGAAGATGTTTACAGGAACAAGGCTCCCATCTTTCTGTGATAAACCTTCGCCAAATGAAGATGTTTACAGGAACAAGGCTCCAATCCTTCTGTTATAAACCTCTGCCTGATGAAGATGTTTACAGGAACAAAGCTCCCAACTTTCTGTGATGAATCTCTGCCTGATGAAGATGTTTACAGGAACAAGGCTCCTATCTTCTGTGATAAACCTTCTAATGCTAAATGAAGATGTTTACAGGAACAAGGTTTGAATAAAAATGAAAATGGTACCATGGTCACAAAGTGTGATTTGTCTGCCAAACCTCTACCTATTTATGATGGTTTAGATCAAGATTAATCTAGGGATGGTGTCATAAAGTCTTTGCAGTCATGGTCACTATGAAAGCTGTAAAGCTGTTTGTATAGAATGTTTTTGTCAACCATTAATTTGTCTGGTCAACATTTTGTAAGTTCTGACCATGATATGACTGTAATGATTGATGTTTAAGACAACATCATTCCTTCACCCTAAGATTTGGTTTAGTTTGGTGAAAATTTCTACATGTCATCGATCCCTGTCGCCTTTGGCTGAGTGACCTTTATACCAGTTCTAATGCATGTAGTGGGTGAACATTGAGGCACTCCACTTTTGAGTTGCATCCCTTAAGTCTGCCTGAACCTGTGACCATGTGTTCAAGTTCCTTATTCACCTTCATTATGATTCTTGATTTATCAGTACCAAACCCATGTTTGCGGCTTTGGAGGGAATAGTTGAAGTCTAGGACATGTATTCTTTTCTTACACATGGAGCTGACATGCTGTGAAGAAGACTTCTACAGTTTCACCAGTGTAAAAAAATAGCTTTTGTTCATCAGTTGGTATGTTTTATGGCAGTGGTTGATGTTTCCACCATTGTCCAACCAGTTATTCTTGTATTGTACTTGTTTCCCTCTAATAATTCTTGTTGTTTCAATGGCTCATGCATTCCACTATTGTTCATCCAGTTAGTCTAGTGGTGCAGCATTTTTGCTCAGAGGCTCTTTTGTCCCACCACTGTCTGCCCAATGGCTTTTGTGTTTCACCATTGTCTCCCCAATGGCTTTTGTGTTCCACCATTGTCTGACTGATGGCTTTTGTGTTCCACCATTGTCTGCCAAATGGCTTTTGTGTTCCACCATTGTCTACCCAATGGCTTTTGTGCTCCACCATTGTCTGCCCAATGGCTATTGTGTTCCACCATTGTCAGCCACATGACTTTTGTGTTCCGCCATTGTGTTCCACCATTGTTAGCCCAATGGCTTTTGTGTTCTGCCATTGTCTGCCCAATGGATTTTGTGTTCCACCATTGTCTGTCCAATGGCTTTTGTGTTCCACCATTGTCTGCCCAATGGCTATTGTGTTCCACCATTGTCTGCCCAATGGCTTTTGTGTTCTGCCATGTGTTTCACCATTGTTAGCCCAATGGCTTTTGTGTTCCACCATTGTCTGTCCAATGGCTTTTGTGTTCCACCATTGTCTTGTGTTCCATCATTGTCCATCCAATGACTCTTGTGTTCCACCATTTAATGTTGATGGATTTTATGTTTCTACACTGTCTGTCCAATGGCTTTTTTGTGTTCCATCATTGAATGTTCGATGGATCTTGTGTTCCACCATTTGGGGGTTGATGGCTCCTGTGTTCGTACACTGTCTGTCCAATGGCTCTTGTGTTCCTACACTGTCTGTCCAATGGCTCCTGTGTTCCTACACTGTCTGTCCAATGGCTCCTGTGTTCCTACACTGTCTGTCCAATGGCTCCTGTGTTCCTACACTGTCTGTCCAATGGCTCCTGTGTTCCTACACTGTCTGTCCAATGGCTCCTGTGTTCCTACACTGTCTGTCCAATGGCTCTTGTGTTGCAGACCTGTCTGTCCAATGGCTCCTGTGTTCCTACACTGTCTGTCCAATGGCTCCTGTGTTCCTACACTGTCTGTCCAATGTGCTACACTGTCTGTCCAATGGCTCCTGTGTTGCAGACCTGTCTGTCCAATGGCTCCTGTGTTCCTACACTGTCTGTCCAATGGCTCCTGTGTTCCTACACTGTCTGTCCAATGGCTCCTGTGTTCCTACACTGTCTGTCCAATGGCTCCTGTGTTGTGTTCCAATGGCTCTTGTGTTCCTACACTGTCTGTCCAATGGCTCTGTGTTGTACACTGTCTGTCCAATGGCTCTTGTGTTGTACACTGTCTGTCCAATGGCTCTTGTGTTCCTACACTGTCTGTCCAATGGCTCTTGTGTTCCTACACTGTCTGTCCAATGGCTCCTGTGTTCCTACACTGTCTGTCCAATGGCTCTTGTGTTCCTACACTGTCTGTCCAATGGCTCCTGTGTTCCTACACTGTCTGTCCAATGGCTCCTGTGTTCCTACACTGTCTGTCCAATGGCTCTTGTGTTCGTGACACTGTCTGTCCAATGGCTCCTGTGTTCTTACACTGTCTGTCCAATGGCTCTTGTGTTGCAGACCTGTCTGTCCAATGGCGCTTGTCTTTCAAGACCAGATTGCCCAGTGGCCCTTGTGTTCCACCATTTGTTTGTTGATAGTTCCTGTGTTGTACCATTAACCGTCTAATGGTTCCCGTGTTCTATTAGTGCCCATCCAGTGGCCATGAAGGACTGATTGGTAACTTTGCAAAAATGTAATTGAAGTAATGTCATTATGTTCTATCATTATGACATACAATTACACAAGAGGGAATGAAAAGCAGCAATGATACTGGCATTCTCATGTGTCTACTGTGCTGTACACAAACCAAGTTTGCTATGGATGAGGAATCATTTGGTATCTTGGGTATATTCTGCTATTCATCTGAATGCACAAAGAGGACAGTACATCCAATAGCTGCTCTAGGTTCAAATCACTTCTTCTAGCCTACCAGACCTGAATGAATAGTGAGTGAGTGAGTATGGTTTTACGCCGCTTTTAGCAATATTCCAGCAACATCACGGCAGGGGACACCAGAAATGGGCATTACACATTGTACCCATGTGGGGGATTGAACCCAGGCCTTCGGTGACGACCAAACACTTTAACCACTAGGCTACCCCACCTCCCCCTGAATGAGGAAGTTGGGGTTACTTCATCATTGGCACCTGAGCTAGCAAGCAAGCAGGCAGGCAAGCAAGCAGTAACCATAATGAACACCTGTAGTCTTCACTGGATTGGATCTGTCCAGACTAGACCATGACCAGAAGCTACCTTATTTAGTGGTACAGGTGTGGAAGCAGTAAACATGATGTGACACCATTGATGTCCTTGTGTAGCATGCCTGCCATCACCTATTTTCAGTAATCCATGTACATAATTTTCTCTACTGTATTGTCTTTTATACTCAAACCAGTATCAACCGAGAACGTCAAGTTTAATTTGTGGCGAATCATAACAACATGGATTGTTGTTGTATAGGCCCGCACAAGGCGGACAACGTTTATTAACCGTTAATGAAAATATAATTACCGTAATAATTAGATGTATATAACAAATAGGCCACAAAGGTGGGGGAAGCCCACGCCAAAGAACCATACAAAGATATAGAGAAAGAGAAGAGGAGGCTTGGAAGGAGGTGGTTTTAAATTCCTGTGGTTACGCGCCAAGATAGTATGGGAACTGTGCCGAGAAATTGAAAACATAAAAGTTGTTTTATCTTATAAAATGAATTTTTACAAAATTCTGCATTTACGATGAATGGAATCAGTTAAAATGACTCATTATTCAATTACATTAAGGTGATATGTTAATAAGAGGTGATGGGTTTTGCCTACCCTTCTAAGATGACTGTCAACTATCAAGAGGTCACAGACATTCTACCAAGTGATCACAGATGTTCCACCAACAGTTCACCAAATTTCTATGATTTGTTCAACAATGTTCTACCACTGGTTCACCAATATTCTTCACAAGCATAAAACCAGTACTTTACAAATGTTTCGCAACTACATACAGAGTGTGACTGTTATATCAAAATATGAAAAACATTCTGATGACAAAACTGAAATATGAATGCATTTTTTATGCATTCTTTAAAATATAATTGAAAGATTTTGAAACTGACTCAGGTGCAGTGAGAATTGCTTAAATCTGTTCAACAAATTCACACTGAAATTGAACATCAGTAGTATCCAAAGGTTTGTCAGTGGTTCCCCTTTGTCTCAGACATCAAACATAAAAGAGGAAATGACGTAACAAGTCGCCACATTCAACCACATTATATATAGCCTACATTACAAATTACAAACTTAATTCTCTCAACATATAATCCCATTCACACTTTTATTGTTCTTTGGTATTCACACATTGTACACAGATTTATCACCGAAGTTAAACTAGCAGTGAAATTTCTTTTGTGGACTGTTTGTTTGTGTTGTCTGTCGGTCAAATGATGTGGAGCCAAATTGTGTATTTCATCAGTTTGGAAAAATGTTCTTGCATGTATGTGATGGCCAGAGATCTTGTATGCTTCTTACCTTGCAACTGAGACCAGATTAATTGTTGTGTGCAGGCGTCATTTGTTGTTCTGATCTATAGATAAAACCCTTAAAAGCAGATGTGTGAATGGAAATAAACATCAATCATTTCTATTTATTTTCTTGTCTGAAACTTTGGCTAAGGTCAGTGGGTCTGTAAATTTCAAACTGAGTGGACTTTGATGAAGACGATTTACCCTCGGCAACAGGAAACGCTTGCGACTGTAACCAGCACAGTTTAATCAGATCTGTGATAGATGAGGAGTGATTAGGATAACAGTATTAAAGTAGCATCACAAATAGACTCAGGGATGTACATAAACTGTCGGTTAATTCCTGCCTCCCACCACACGGATGTCTGGTCTCTGTCCCAAAGGCATTGTGGGATGTCTCCTCGTGTAGGAGTGAGGTGGATGGGATGCTATTTCAGCAGTAAATGATGGATTAGTGAGTGAGTGAGGGTTTACACTACAATACTCCAACAATATTACAGCAAGGGAAACCAGAAATGGGTTCCACATATTTTACCCTTTTGACGAAACGAACTGGGTCCCTGGCATGACAAATGAATGCTTCAGCAGTGAATGAATTATGTGACACTCTGTGGCCTTTATGTCAGGAGATATTGAGGTTTGGGGATTTGCAACAGATATATTTAGTGTAATATCTTTATCAATCTCGATAGCGATTTTTGCTGACATGTTACTGAAAGGTAAATATTCAAAGAATACATAACCTTAAGTGACTGTCAAATTGATTTATCTGATAACATTGACAACATCACCCGAACACAACCACCCTCAGAAACAACATGCAAAATGTGTGGCATGAATGGGCTCCACTCTTCATATGCACCCTGATCGGTGTAAACCTATCTGTAATCATTCCTCTGGCACAACAAGCGGGTCCTAACTTCATTTTTATGGATGATAATGCCCATCCGTGGATGATAATGCCCGAGAAAGAGTTGTTTACGATGTTGTTTAGATCAACATGGACTGGATAGCAAGGTCACTTTATCTTAATCCCATTGAACATGCTTGGGACAGTATTGGAAGTCGTGTTTACCGTCTCCATGTTCACCCCCAGACTCTGGATGACCTTGAGCAGGCGGTACAGAGAGAATGGCAGAACATTCCACAACAGCAACTTTAAGGCTCATTTGGTCAATGCAAAGACATGTAGAAGCTTGCATTTGTGGTCATACGTGTTACTGAACACTGCTTCACTGTCCAAAACTGACTTGAACCTTAATGTTAACATTTTGCTCCATCTATGCAGCACATTTTGCACGACTGTTTCACGGGTACATGCTGTTGATGATTTGTAAGTCTATTATTGCTCAATACCATTTCATTTCATTTTGTTTATCGTGTGTACATATGTTTCACCGTTCAATTGCATCATTCAATGATTTGCAATTTCAATAAATGAAAAGGTAATGAGACTACAAATTTGTGTTGCTTAACTTTTTGTGAGGAGTATATATTCCATTAATACCATGTTGTGGGGACACCAGACTTTGTTATATCCATGTTGGGAATCAAACATGGGCCATCAGCGTTATGAGTGAATGCTTACCCACAAGGCTAATCAAACACCCTTAATGTCAGAAGAAATCCCAACTTGATGCAGATCAGGGATGTTTCCTGCTTCAGTGGTATCCTATCAACTTTTTATGGGCTTTCAAACCAATGTTCATATTGGCACTTCAGAATCTTACATGTGTGTTGCGAGTTACGGTATCTGAGACCACTTAGGTAATCCTGCCCTTTCTGTGACTGAATTCTCCCAAGAAAATATCAAACTCATTTTAGGAAGAGCAACTATATGATGATATTTCTCATCACATTTTACAATAAGTTGATATGTGAGTGACTTACTTTAGATGTGTTTTATGAGATTGTCACTCTAAATGTCAATGGTATTTTATGAGTTAGTTAATGTGCCATTTATGCTGCTTTTAGCAATATTTATTTTACAAAAGGAATCTTTGTTATCGCATAACTTTTATTGTTTTGATTAGAATAAGGCAAGAGCATTATGTATTTCAAGGTCAAGGTCATTTTACCCAAAGCAATTATGCTTGTACATGTCTTCATTGTTTGTTCCACAGCTCATAGTGCTTCATTTGTATATGGAGAGGTGACAGGCACTTCATAGGAAGTCATGCCAGGTGAACTTTCACATCAGCCAATCACTGTGGAGGTTTTACAATTCTCTGTGTGAATGGTAATGCAATTGGTGCAGCGGATCTGATTTCTGTATAAATACAACAGCCATGTTAGGTTGTGGACACATTACACTATCTGATGCCATCACATGTCCAGCTAGGTTTACTGTCGGGGAATATTTGTGGTTTGTGTGGATTTCATTTGTCCAGACCAAAATGTCTGATTCAGACACAGGACTAGTGGTAAAGAAATTTACCAGGCATTAACTCTGACTGTCATCCGAGTGTGTTAACGCAGTTTAGAACGAATTGAATCTGAAATGTTATAGAAAGTTGTCTGTAAAACCCACCTATCCTGTATACTGATTAGGCATTAGAGAGACTGGATATTATTTAAAATATTTGAAAGAATAATCACATTTATGTCAATGATGGAGAAGATGATTGTCAAGGTCAAAGTTTGTGGAATGGGAACAGAGATATTGATAAGACAGAACAAAAAATTTGAAGGTCAAGGTGAATTTCAGAGCATTTGTATACATTTTGATGGAACGAAACAATTATCAAGGTCAAGGTCAAGGTCATAGTTTGATGAACAGTTAAAGCTACTATGACTGAACAAAAGAATCAAAATGCTGAATCTTCAGTTACTAAACAAATACCAAGGTTCTTACCAACATGTTGAATTATTCAACATTAAGCCAGTATCATGTTCAACATCTGAGCCAGGAATTCACTTGCCATGCAGTTTTTGTGCAATTAAACAAAACAACTGTCGATTGTTATACAAACTCATACTGCTGCAACACTGGTTCAAGTCAAAGAAATTGCTCAACTCTTTCGATTCCAGAACAGGGACAAGCAGATTCTTGTTAAGTCTTCATTCGGAACTGCTTCCAAACCGACATGGTTGTGTGGGACTATTTAAGAATAAGGTGTCCGAAATTGCTGCCATGCTTCCTTAATGGAAAACCAACTGTCAGTTCTTGTATGTAGAATGACAGCTTTGATATTGTTGATTCACTCGCTGACATTTACTTAGACGATCTCGAAATGTAACCAGTCCTCCTCATCTTGAGCCATCTCCAAACATGGACTTACTGAAAATGTTTGATTTAGCATGGACATGTATGAGAGAGCTATGTTGAGTTTATTACACAAAGGACATGTTGCTTCAAGCGAATCTCCTGATCCACCTGGTATTGATATGTATGTCCATAAGCTTGTGTTTGTGTGTACTGGACATTGTTGTAAGCATCGCTCATGAAGCATTCAGTCAATCACATTGGAGTTCTGAAACCTTAACAAGCTGATGTACTTGTAATGACAGATACATGCATTTTATTATATTGGAAATGAGTGAGTTGTTTTTTTTAAAGCAATTAAAGCAATACTCCAGCAACATTTCGGCGGGGGTTACCAGATATGGACTTCACACATCGTATTCATGTGGGAAATCGAACCTGGACCTTCGGCGTGACGAGGCAACACTTTGGTCACTAGGCTACCTCCCCACCCTCTCTTTATCCCGATGCCCCCTCTTTCTTCCTTCGTTTTTCTTCTTTTCTTTGAGTAAGGGGCACCATATATATCGGTTTACTCCACCATGAACCATTAATATATTCAGTTTGTTGTTATTCAGTCAGTCTTTCATATACTTACTCAGATTTTCTGAACCAGGCAAGTTAATGGTTGGCTTCTAGAAAGTTAGAACATGAACACAAAGAATTTTTGTAAGGATATTAACTTCTGTATTGTTTTTCATGGCTAATGTCTTCAACTGTGTAAACTTCATCCACTAACTGAAGGAGCAAGAAATAGCTTTGAAACTTCTTGAAAAACGAATTTCACATCTTCAAAGCTGAACCACTTACAGACTGGTTCCATCTAATTTTATGTAATTTTCTTCAAGTTTGGTTCATGAGCACAATTTTGTGTGCACCCTTTTAATTATATCATGTGACCAATATGAATCACAGATGCCGGTACTTGGTTGCTTGTTGCATATTAGGTGGCATAAGTTTAGTCATTTCATCAGATTGAAAGCAAATCATCAGGTAAGTCATTAATTAAATTTTCACGTTTTGAATGGAAGCATGGGGTAGAATAGTGGTTAAGTTGTTCACTTGTCTTGCTGAAGCCCTGGGTTTGTTTCCCCACATGGGTGCAGTATGAAAAAAACCAGTTTCTTTTGCCCCTCACCATGATATCGGTTGAATATTGCGCAGAAAGCACTCTCACCAGTTATGTAAAGAACCAGTTTGGTGTTTGAAACATTTCAGTCTATGAATTTCAAAATTTAAGAAACAAAGAAGTAAATCAAATAAAGTGAAATTAAGATTGCAAATCCTCATAATTTTACCTTGCCAATGGAACATTTAAATCTCATGGGAATTTTATTCAACTTAGGATCGGGTTAGAATATTGTTTAACCCAAACGTCATAAGATCCCGACTAAAGGGATTGGGAAATCAGGCTATTACTGGTTTGTATTACAAGGGTAAAGCAGTTGTTGGATGCTGTTGAAACTGGAATGAACCAGACTTGATTATGTGACCGCCAAATAGCTGGAATATAACTGAGTGCAGCGTAAACTAAACTCACTCACTCAGTGTTTCATTTGATGTGCATATCCCTTGTAATACAAACTGTAAGAGGCAACTAATGGATTGGGTGGTCAGACTTGGTGACTTCGTGAATGTGTTTGCCCTTAACTCTGAAAAGCTGCAGGCCCTAAGGACCCAGAACCATAATAAGTTGTAGGTCTTGACCAGAATGTCTAGGTCCTATGTTTTAATATGGAAATAATACTCGTAGTTATTGGGGATGAAAAAGCTGTCGGCTAAAAGGATGGGTCCGAGTGGTTTTCAGTTGGCTTCGGGACTAAAACACGACGTTAATTTCAAACTCTGCTTTGTGAACGTGCATGCTTATACACAGTTGATCAATTTGTGTAGCCTGAATTTGTCCACCATGTTATATCTTAATTATCATAAAATTTGGTCCTTAACAATGAGTAAATTGTAGGTGATCCTTGATCTCACCATGAACATAATAGAACAGTGTTATGATGAATGGTGTTGAAACTATGGACACAGTGATGACTCTCTTGTTTAGCCCCACTAATGAAAAAATACATGAAAGTTGTCTTGATAGTATGGAAATGATGGTGTGGGAAGTCAGGTGTGTAGAAATATAAATTGTATTAGGTGTGCCATTTCAGGTTTTTCCCCATTTTTTTAGTATATGACAAACTTATTTCAAAATATGTATATACATTAATTAAAAACTCATTACTTTAGTATATGTTATGAGCTCTTATTAAAAGGATAAAATTAATCCAGTGTTAAGGTTAGTAATGAGTAATAATGATATCCAAGGTCAAGGTCAAAGTCAAGGTCATATTGCAAATACTGACTGTGGGTGTCAATGTTCACTCAGTTATCTCTTATTGCAGCCTTAATACTACTACAGTTCTACAGCAGAGCTGTCAACCCCTAAAGATGGTTTAGAGTGAGACTGAAAAAAAATAAGCCAGGGCCGGCGACGCCCTGGTGGGGGTTCTCTGGGGGGCAAAGCCCCCCGCCCCCGAAAATGAAGTTTAGTGATTTTCAGGAGCATTTGGAACCTTCTGGTGGCATTATTTTGACACTAAAAGATGCATGCTAATAAATAATAATAAGCCGAATCATTCGCATAAACATCGTTTTAGTACTTCATTCATTCAGGCGTTCTTTCAATGTTCAACTTTACGCAAAAACTAACGAAAATGCGTATTAATTTTGAAATTATTTTTGGCTACCAGATATGCGTGAGATTATTATTTGGAGGCGTGAGAGCGTGACATTTGTCAATAAAGCGTGAGACTCACGCCAAATGCGTGAGAGTTGACAGGTATGCTACAGTTGTCTTATTTCAGGAAATAGATAACTTTTGAGTTAATCGGTGCTGTGGTACATGCCATAATGTGCTTTGAGGTGGAATAACATTACACAAGGTAATTTACTAAAGATTACATCTTTCTGTGCTTCTTCAGCTGCAGAATAACTCATGCTAATTTAATAAGGCTGACAGGTTTCACATTCACTCACAACCTCTGTTGAAAAGAAATTAAAATAGAGTTAAAACCACTCAGTTCTGACAACAAAAGATAACATGGTCGGTTCATCAAACAGATTACAGAAATAATTCTGTATTTGTTTAAACCGTGTAATATGTAATCATATAAAACTACCCAAATAATCAACCTGAACAGTGTTGTGATTACAAATACCTTCCCCAAATGATTGGAGTCAAACTGATGGATGCCATGCCATGGATACTGTTTTAACTCACTGGCACTGTTTTTTTTATCCACTCCTTTTGAGTGCCAGAGTTTTGTCTGATATTAAGATCCTTGAACAAATGCCAAGAAGTCATCGTGACCACTCAAGTGTGTTGTTTTTTAACCTGGCTTAGGGATCAACCAAATCTGATAATTTGGAAAGTGAAAAAAGAAAGATTCCTGTTCAAGTGTTTTATGTTATGGACAAGCCCGACGTTCCTGATGATAAGGAATCACATGTCACAGCTTCTGTTGTCAGCTAAACTAAGTTTAAGCTCTAAGACTTGCACATGTGCACTCAATACACATGATGTGTCCTTTATGAGTACACTGAAAACAGGACCGCCTCTGTGGTGTAGTGGTTAGAGTGTCCGCACGGAGAGCGGAAGGTCGCGGGTTCGATCCCGACCGCGTCATACCAAAAGATGTTAAAATATGGTACTTGTTGGTCCCTGCCTGGTGCTCGGCATTAATGGGTACAATAAGGACTGGTCGGCTCGGAGTCAGTATAATGTGTCTGAGTGGGGTATTCATGCTTCACTACAAAATGGTATCTCAGTGGGCTAGCACTATAAAACCAGCTTCAGTCTGGGCTAGTACAAGCAGCCGCACATACACATACACACGCATGCACGTCGTCATATGAGCGAAATATTCTCAAGCACAACGTTAAACCCAATTTCACTTCACCTCACCTCACATTCAAAACACGAGAGAGAGTGAGTATGGTTTTATACTGCTGTTAGCAATATTCCAGCAATTTCATGGTGGGAGACACGAGAGAAGGGCTTCACATATTGAATCCATGTGGGGAATCAAACCAGGGTCTTCGGCATGATGAGCATCTGCTTTAACCACAAAACACAAACTGTAGCCTTGATGGATACTATCCACAGCTTCAACAAATCTCTGTATAACATGTATCTTTGTTCCCTTAGAAACGCTATAACATGTTATCAATTTTACATTCCGTTCTCAATGGGGAAATATTCTCGTTAAATCAATTTCTCTCACCTTCACATTCCATTCTCATTTTATAATATGTCAAATAAAAAATAGAGTGTCTGAAATGTAATTGTTCTCATCCTAAAGATATGAAAATGTAAGGGTGTACTTCTACTTTATCATTGTTATATTTCCGACCATATGAACCCCAACCTAAAATCATTAGAAAATTTAGAGACCTTATTTATTTACAAGTGAAATGTTCAAATATTTGTCAATATGAATTGATGTAACAAATGACAATGAGAAAATAGTCTCAGGCATTGGGTGGATAGATCAGATCTCTGCATCAGTTGATTTGAAAGTGTGAAAATAATGAATTCTTGTATTTCTGATGACCATCTAAACCTTTCTTAAAGGTGAAGTGTTGTGTAAAGTTCATCAACAACTCCTGCAAGCAGAAAAATGGTAGGACAACATGATAGGTATACAACTTGTATTGTGTGTTATGACATTGACAGTTAAAGCTGTTTTGGAGCCAACTTTTGTTTGATTATTGTCTTTACAGACCTTGGTCTTATATCAAGCTTATTACATATTTTTCGTCAAAACTTGTATCTATAGTGCAGTGATGACATATACCTTATTATTCTAATATTACTGGTATGAATGTGTAGGTTATGTGTGTCCGTCAGTGAAGATGTAACAGTTTGTACAGTGACAAGGTTGCCTAGGTGTTGCTTGGGACGTAACACCTGCTATACTCTAGGATATACAGCTGGTGTTACTTACTTGAGTGTGACTGCAATTTTCATAGGAATACCTGTCCTGGGACAAAAACACCTTTTTGTTGCCATTCTTTATCCATATGATTGCGTGGGAAATTAGAATGTTTTTCTACCCTGGCTTGAGAATTGCAAGCAATCATTCATTCACTGATACACCAGCTAATGTACTCAATCACTCAGTTTCTCCACTCACCTACTATTATATCAAATTACTCACCCACACTCACCCCCTCACTCACCTGTTCTCTTATCCACTCAACACTCTGCTACTGCTCATCAGCATATTATTTTTATTGGTGTCAGTCTGAACCATAAATATGATCAGAATAATCATAGATTAGACATTCATTCAGCAGTAAACAGTCTGTACTTACCTACAAGGACAGGAAGTGTTCATCTCTGCCATTACCCATAATTCATAGTAAGCCAATTATATGAGTTCCCATCATAATCTGCCCAATGATCAACTTCCTCCATCACCTCCAATTTGAAACTCCCCATCATGAATAGAATCCATAAAGAAGGAGGCAATATCTAGCCCAGTAGAAATGTCACATGTTTTTGTTTCAGCAATCTTGAAATACTAGTATGAATATTACTATAAATTTTATCATCAACCTTTTTGATCTTGTGTGTTTTGGACTTGTGATTATGTACTAGCTAAAATGAGTGAACAAGGGTGATATTATCAACTTCAAGGGAAGCTAACTGTGAGCAAGTCTCTGACCCAAGATGAGTTTTTAACCATGTGTTTGTACTGTCTTCACCTACATTTTCCCAGGAAAGTGTGCATGGCTCAAACCCTGTTATGTTCAAATATTAGAAGGCTGCTTCCTCAAAGCATCTAAACTCAGCAGTTTTCACACATTTTAACCTTATCTCCACATTTAGTGGTGTTACAAGCAAAAAAACATGCAAGTGTTGAAACCTCCAAACTTTCTCAACATGTTTTAGTTGTTCCTATCACTTAAAATATTCAGGTCCTCTTAGCCGAACTAGCCTGTCATACCTTGCCATTTTGGTATTCAAATAGGGGCCACTTGTGCCCAAGATGTCTGAGACACTTTATTTCGACATGCCAAGTTGCATCCTTAGAAACCTACAATCAGTCTGGATCTCAGATTTGCACTCTTGATATATCTAGGTATGCAGCACCATTCCCATGATCATGGGTTTCACCAAACAGGTAAGTGTCAAAGGTATGCATCACATTGGCATTTTCCCCTTTACTAGGCACCCGTGAAGATCTGGGTTAGATTTGATCTTCAGTAACCCATGCTTGTTGTAAGAGGCGACCTACGGGATCGGGTGGTCAGACTCGCTGACTTGGTTGACACATGTCATCGTATCCCAATTGCATAGATTGATGCTCATGCTGTTCATCACTGGATTGTCTGGTCCAGACTCGATTATTTACAGACCTGCTGCCATATAGCTGGAATATTGTTGAGTGCGGCATAAAACTAAACTCACTCACTCCTTTATCAGGCCATCCTTTCTTTTTATGTGTTTCTCATCTCCGACCTCAACCAGCATGAGGGCACTTTGCTTCAAAATCATATTTTTAATAAATGTAGATGAAAAAATATGAAGCTGACCTGTAGTTTTTATGAGTGAGTGAGTGAGTGAGTTAAGTTTTACGTTGCTTTTAGCAATATTCCACCAATATCAATGTAGGGGACACCAGAAATGGGCTTCACACATTGCACCCATCAAACCTGGGTCTTCAGTGTGACGAGCAAACACTTTAACCACTAGGCAACCCCACTGCCCCATATTTTTTGAGTGTTCAAGGGTAAGAGTATATTTTATCACATCATGGCATAAGTATCTACAACACCAGCAGAAATGGTGGCAGAAAACCCTTTACTATTTCACATCGGAATGAAAATTCAGGATGGCTGTAGTTGGGAAGCACAGAAAAAGATACAGACAGCCTTAACCTGGTCCTCCCAGCTCACTCAGTCAGCTTTTGTAGTTATTCACTTCCACATTCCCTCTGACACTGTCCTTCATGTTGCAGATGAATGCAGCCCCCTCAAGATGTGACGGAAGAGGACCATGTTTGGTATGTAGATGGTGTCAGTGTAGAGATGCAGAGAGTACCGTCTGTGTCGCCATTCCGACTGGACGTGAAGCAAAACACATCAAACAGCAAGTATTGACTCTGTTTGGGGTCTTTGGTGTGTGGGGCTGTTGCATTCACAGTATTAAGTGCTGAATCCAAATGTCCTGAGTTCAAATCTTGTATCATGGTTTGGTTTTGTATTTACCTGCTTTTTATGAACCACCAGCTGAAACTAAGTGCTTAATGCTAATTATCCTGTACAATACTGAAACCAATTATTGGTGGGTTGCTTAAATGCCAAATGCTTAAAGGTTCATTGAAGTTGTCAAGGTTTGAAATACGCTCGTCAGATGGCAGGACTAGGTATATTGGCAATCTCATTAAAATCACATCTGAAGGAAGGAGGTCATGAACTTTCTAATCAGCTAATCTGTTTTGAAAATTGTATTAGAAAGCTAACATCTGACAGACTCAAGAGCACATGCATTCTTCACAAACTGTAATTGATAACAACTTCTTTGATTTCATGATTGTGATATTTCGATATAGATACCTGTACCATTGGGTTCACCTGGTACAACCTTCTATGGAGGTGTTGTCAGATCTTGAAGCAGAGACATATTGGTTTTGTGTAAAAGATCTGGTTGTAATGAGATTGAGTTACTTGGTTACACTGTACCCAAACCACTGAACTTATTCAGCATTTCAGTGACTGGTCTTATCCAAACTTGAGTATTTACAGCCATCCTGATTTTACTTGAGTTATTGTTTGTGTGCAGCAAACAGAATGGCCATGAGCACATGTTGACCATGTTGTATCTATGCATCCTTGTGGTAAAAAGTAAACTTGTTGAATTCATTTTAATAAAACAGCTCCCTGAAATACAATGTCTAATGAATTAAATGTGTTTATCTGGACAGTTTTGTCCTTTTGTATCTTTCTCAATTGGGACCAAGGATTGGGACATGCCTACCATGACTGAAGTAAAATATAAATGTGACAAATTTATATGGCTAACAACTTGTTTTATTTTGTGAGTGCGATATTTCTATACAGATTATGGTACCATTGTCAGGCAGGGTACAAGACTCTGTATGGAAACTGCACACACAAAACAAGGAAGTTGTTATCAATGAACAAATGTCATCATTGTACTTCTCTACTTCTAAAATGCCACTTAAAGAAGACGTAAAATGTGTTTTTCTGGTCAGTTTTGCTAGAATGTATCATTTTCAAAGAGGACTTAAGAATGGTGGGTGTGACAGATCAGACAGAACAAGCTTACTCTTTTATTGAACACCTTTGTCATCAATGTTTTCAGTGATCCATATGTATAATTTTCACTGCTATTTTGCTTTTATGTTAGATGGAATCTACTGTGGCAGATAATCAATGCTTTTGTTGCACTGTATTTTTTCATCAAAAATATACCTGTTGTACAAGATTAGATTGCACCTGTATGTATAGCCACAGCCCCATCTACATGAGCAGGGCCTCCTTTCACTAAGCACTAAGGTGATCATAAGTCACTAAGGTAACCTTAGTGAAATGTTAAAGAATGGGAGTTAAGGTTAACCTTAGTAAAGGTTGCTTTGTGAAAGGAGCCCCTGATCTTCTACTGAAGGCCGCCTGTACTTGTTTCATGTGTGGTAATGAGTGAGTGAGTGAGTGAGTGAGTTTAGTTGTAGTGAGTTTTAGCAATATTGCAGCAATATCACGGCAGGGGATACCAGAAATGGGCTTCACATATTGTTCCCATGTGGGGATTTGAACCCGGGTCTTTGGCGTGACTGTGTGGTAATGACCAGCTCAGGGTTCAGTGTTAAACTTGAGGGTGTGGTATGACACTTTCATGTGTTGTGATGTGCAGGTACACATGATTTTCCATCATTGATTTTGCAGATTACCAGTTGTATACAATATTATGACTCTTTAATTGCTGTCCTTCAATTATGGAACTGCTTTCCCTCAAACAGCTAATATTTACTTGAAGACACCTCTCTTTGTTACTAAGGAAAGGTTTTGTCACTTTCATCCTACTGAACATGTTTAGTACCATTGAGGACTTTTAGAGAGAAAAGTGTTTCTTTGCCATTTTGTCTTGAGACAATCAAGTACAAGTCATTGTGTTGTACTTTATGGGAAAGCAATAAGTTTTACAGCATTTATAGAGTTGTATGAGAATTGAAAAACCCAGTGTTTCATCACAATTGTACTTGTTCATCAGTTGTTGGTGTTTCTGGTTAGTACAGTTGGTGGTCGGTGTAGTCAACAGAAAGGTGTCTCTCTGGACTGTAGTACAGAGGACTGTTCAGACGACAGTCCAGATAGCATCAGGTTAAAAGCTCCAGGCACTAAATTTCCTGGATACATGAAGAGCAAAAGGATAAGACCATAAATGCAGTTGCTTAATCACTATTTTTAATTTTTGTCTTTTCAAACTTATAACCTAATATCAGTGGGAGTATAACTGATGGCTCAGTGTTCCAAGGTGTCATCGGGTCAAAGTTAATGAGTGAAAGGTGCTGTGTAGTGTTGCATCCCTTAGTTATGCCAGGATCAGCTGATGTTTGGTTTATGTTTCTGATTATGATCCCTGGTTTGTCAGCAAAATATCTATGCTTATGAGTTTCTAAACATATATCACATGCTTCATTTGAAGCCTTTTCCAACCTTTAGCTGGCATGCAACTTCAACAAAACTTCAGCAGACATGACAGACTAAAATATCTCAACGGGAAGCCTTCAATAGATTGGACATGCTAGAGTCTGAAACATTGAAAAGCAGGATGTTTCATCAAACTGGCTAGACCTCTGCATGCAACATTCAGCCTTGAAAAGACTTGAAGGCCAACTTTTAACTTCAAACCTTTGACATGCTGCACCGTCATGAGTCTTGCTGTCCTGATGAAACCTTGAACAGATTGGACAGACAAGAGTCATGTTCCCAACAGGAAACAGGCTGGACAGGCTTGAGTTATGCTTTCAATCTGAAATCTTCAAGCGAGGAGATATGTTGGTTTCTTCTCTCAACATGAAATCTTCAAGAAATTATGACAACCTAAAGCCTTGCACCCAAAATGAAACTACCAACAGGTTGGATCAGCAAACTGTATTGCCTTCATTAGGAAGCCTTTGACAGACTGCTTCATGTTGTTGGTAAAGTACTACTCTGAAACTGATGCCTGAAAATTGGGCCTAAATGAAATCTGCAACTGTGTAATCCTTCAACAGACTTAACTACCTAAACTAATTTAATGCTCTCAAAATGAATGCACTGTCTGTCAGGTGGACATAGAGTCATTTACCACAATCTGCTAAGGACACCTGTTACTATTCACCGTTGTCTTTTAAGGACAATTGAAACTCTTCATCCTCACTTTCTGCTGAAGAGACCTCTGTCTCCCAAGGAAACCTGTTACCATTCACCTCTCTCTGCCAAGGCAACCTGTTACCATTCACTTCTATCTACAAAGGAAACCTGTTACATTCACCTTTGTCTGCCAAAGAAACCTATCACCATTCACGTCTATCTGTCAAGGAAACCTGTGCCATTCACGTCTACCTGCCAAGGAAACCTGTTTCATTCACTATTGTCTGCCAGAAAGGCCTGGAGATAATCACCCTTGCATTGCTTGGAGGTCTGAAGTAACTCAGTGGGTTTTAATACTACTTTGAATAGAAACCCCAATTGAAGTAATTGCTTCTGTGAGAATCTGTGAGAATTGAATCTGTGATCATCAGACTCCTCACAGGGAATCGCTAGACCTTACAAACCTCTGTCACATATGCCACTGGGCATTAAAACAAATACCATACAGCCTGAACCCATTTTGCAGATTGAGGTACATGGAGCCAACATAACTGGGGCAGTTAACCTTTGTCTTAGAGAGTGACACATAACTGGAGCCAATAGCCATTGTCTTAGAGAAGGACATATAACTGGAGCCAACAACCATTGTCTTAGAGAAGGACACATAACTGAACCCAATAACTATTGTCTTGGAGAAGGACATATAACTGGATCCAATAACCATTGTCTTGGAGAAGGATACAGAACTGGAGCCAATAACCATTGACTTAGAGAAGGACATATAACTTGAGCCAATAACCATTGTCTTGGAGAAGGATACAGAACTGGATCCAATAACCATTGTCTTAGAGAAGGACATATAACTGGATCCAATAACCATTGGAGAAGGAAACGGAACTGGAGCCAATAACCATTGTCTTAGAGAAGGACTCATAACTGGAGTCAATAACCATTGTCTTAGAAAATAAGACAAGTAACTGGAGCCGATAACCATTGTCTTAGAGAAGAACACATAACTGGAGCCAATAACCATTGTCTTAGAGAAGGATACAGAACTGGAGCCAACCATTTTCTTAGAGAATGATACAGAACTGGAGCCAATAACCATTGTCTTAGAGAAGAACATATAACTGGAGCCAATAACCATTGTCTTAGAGAAGGACTCATAACTGGAGCCAATAACCATTGTCTTAGAGAAAGACAAGTAACTGGAGCCAATAACCATTGTCTAAGAGAAGAACACATAACTGGAGCCAATAACCATTGTCTTTGAGAAAGACAAATAACTGGAGCCAATAACCATTGCCTTAGAGAAGGATACAGAACTGGAGCAAACCATTTTATAAGAGAAGGATACAGAACTGGGGCTAATAACCATTGTCCCAAATGGGACAAATAACTGAACCATTTGTCATGCCCTGTTTAAAGTATCTGTTTAAGTTGTCAGGACTCGTTCATTTTTGTATACTGGAATGGTTGGATTCCTTTCACCATTGTCTACAATTGTCTAAACTAGACCCACTTGGGGGGTCTGACTCAATTCTGGGATACCACTGACCATTATTTACCTAGAAGACCTGATATCTATGCAGCACTATCTTCCAAGAAGATCTGGTATCTGTGCATCATTGTCTTCCTAGAAGACCTGGTATCAATGCACTATTGCCTGCGAAGTGAGTGAGTGAGT